GGCCTGCTGTGTTCGTCCAGCCCTGCACCTTGTTGTCCAGGAGACTGGTTTGACCACATTTTGAGTATTGTGTGCAATTCTGGTCTCCCCCTCCTATAGAAAGGATTTTGTGAAACTAGAAAGTATTCAGAAAAGATTTATGTGGATGTTGCTGGGGCTGGAGCTTTTGCAATATCGGGAGAGGCTGAATAGGCTGGAGCTATTTTCCTGGGAGCGTTGGAGGCTGAGGGGTGACCTCATAGAGGTTTATAAAATCATGAGGGCCATGGATAGGGTGAATAGCCATGGCCTCTTCCCCAGGGTGGGGGAGTCCAAAACCAGAGGGCACAGGTTTAAGATGAGAGGGGAAAGATATAATAGGGACCTAAGCAGCGACTTTTACATGCAGTAGGTGGTGCGTGTATGGAATGAGCTGCCAGAGGAAGTGGTGGAGGCTGGTACAATTACAACATTTCAAAAGGCATGTGGATGGCTATATGAATAGGAATGGGCCAAATGCTGGCAAATGGGACTAGATTTCTTTCGGAAATCTGTTAGGCATGGGTAAGTTGGATCGAAGGGTCTGTTTCCGCGTTGTAGATCTCTATGACTCTAATGGTTGCCTTACATGTATTGTTGCTTGCTGAGGACTGTACATAATAACATAAATGGCAAACAGCCATCACGGCAACACTCCCTGATGGATAATGTACCTGTATGGTAACGATTCGGGGTAATGGCTGGCGAGTGTTAGCTCCTCCTTCAATGGCAATGCCCAGAGTGGGTGCACTTTTAGGGACTCTCACCAACACCGAGGTTGGCTCCAGTAAGCCAGGCTGTGATAGAAATCAAACATTTGGTCAGTTAGTAAAGTGAACAGCTGTAAATCAGGTCATTGTTTTCTCCTCTGCTCAGTTAATATGAAAAGTCAGAATTAGCCATGCCTGTCTGAAGGATGTACACTGCGAGCTGCTTCCCCCTTTCTTTATGAAAGTGCTTGCAGTTATTAGGCTCCAGCTGCACCAGAACCAGCCTTCCTCTGGTACTCTGTCAGTGAATGTCAACAGCGCTTCAAATGGTGGGAATGTTCCCCACAACCAAGCCTGGCCCATACTTGCAAAGGTCCCCGAGACAGCCGCTCAGCTTCACAGCCTTTGGCCCAGGAATGCTCAGCACTGAAAACCCAAGACAACATGTGTGGAGGGTCAAACTGACAGGACAATTGGAAACGTCTGTGGAACTGCAGGTCAGCTACTGGGACAGGGTTTTCCATTTGAGATTGAAAATGCTGGCATAGGAATCAGGTGAGGTGAAGGCCATCCTGTAGAGAACAGTCCCAATAGGCCATGGTTGGTCACTTAGTGGCCAGAGGGTGGGTTTACCTTTTAATTAAGGATTGCAGGAGGGCTCTTAAAGCTAGAGGATCTCTTACTGTTATCTTTTCAGTTACAAAGCGTCTGCTCACACCAACAGCACAATGATAAATTCTGACTGCACACGCTCAGCTCCCTTAATTTCCAGAATGTATATGCTCAAGCACATACTCAATATAAAACTAGTCTACTTTGTACACAGCATTTTCTCTTCACCAATACACTTTTAATTTTTTTGACATTTGTAGGTGTTTGTTAGTTTGTTAACACTATTTAAGTTTAATTTGCTGCTCTTGCACATGTCCCTGAGCGTTGGCAAACACAGCCTATCAGTTAAGTTGGAGAAAGAGTGACACCATTTTGAGGAGGCCCCCCATCCCCCTCTCCAATCTCATAATGCTTTATATAAAACCAGCTGTCAGATCATCACTACAGAGGGACAAAATGCTTGTCCGGAGCACTGGCCTCCTGGTCTGCTACAGGCTGCTAGGCTGTTCCCTAAAGCCTCCAGTGACCGTGCAGGCAGTGGTGTGGTGTATAACTCGATTTAGTTTCTCATGATAGGTTAGCAAGGCTTTAAAGAAAACTTCATTGGCTTCTCCCTTCACCACCACCTCCCCCATGTCGCTGACTACTCCCAGGGACATGGGCATGAGGAGAGGGATGGTAACCTGATGGGGAATTGATTCAATCTTTATCAAACTCTCCGAAAGGTGCCTAAACATTCAGTCAACATCAACTGTGAGGGGAGAAAATCGATGGAGAAAATTCACAAGAAAATTTAATGCAATAGACCCTAAGGATCATCATTGGCTCATAGCTTACCCAAACTTGATCCTGAGCAGTTTCTGTCAGTGGCTATTTGCCACTGGCTTCAACTGTCAAGGGCAGAGTAAGGAGACAGGTCCCAAGTCGACCTGAGCTGATTGGGCAGCAAACCAGTACTGTTGGTATGAATCCGAACAACATGCTCATCTAGCCACCTGTGCTCATTGGCTCCTTCTGGAGAGAACGACAGCCCTGCTATCTGATCACTTTAAAAATTTAAAAGTAAAAATATTTCCACTTGATAGAGCTGGACTGCTGTGTGTTTTTATTCTTTTACAGAATGTGCATGTCGCCGGCTGGTCCAGCATTTGTTACTCATCCCTAATCGCTTGTGATGGGCAGCCGGTGAGCTGTCTTCTTGAGCCAGTACCCTCCATGTGATATCAGTACACCCTCAATGCTATTGGGAAGGGAGTTCCAGTACTTTCCTAGTGACAGTGAAGGAACAGTGATCTTGTTCCAGGAATTTTCTGCCTTACAGGGGAATTTGCAGATGGTGGTGTTCCTATGAGCCTACAGTCTTCATATTTCTACGGGGCGGAGTTGTAGGGTTAAGAGTTTCTATGGAAGAGCTTTGGTGAGCTGCTGCAGCATACTTTGTACATGGCACACACGGCTGCCACTATCCATCAGTGATGGAGAGGGTGAATCTTTAAGCTGGCTGGGGTGCTGATCAGGCTAGTTGCTTTGTCTTGCAAGGTACCGAGTTTCTTGAATGTTGTCTAGGCATTGCTGCGAATGGTCACTGAGCGCTTCAGTATCTGAGGAGTTGCCAATGGTGCTGAACATTGTCCAGTTATTAGAGAACATCCCCATTTCCGGCCCTATATTAGAAAAAGGTCACTGATGAAACAGATGGTTGGCCCCAGGATACTACCCTGAGGAACTCACCGGCTCTTGTGGCACAGTAGTAGTGTCCCTACCTCTGAGTCAGGAGGCCCAGGTTCAATTCCCACCTGTCCTGGATATGTTTCATAACATGTCTGAACAGATTGATGAAAAATACCTATCCTGAGGAACTCAACAGCTTTTCTTACATAGTGGTAGTGTCCCTATCTCTGAGACAGAAGGCCTGGAATCAAATCCCATCCGCTCCACAGGTGTTAAAATATCGCTGAACAGGTTCATTGAAAATATCTAATCTGAGGAGCTCCTGCAGCAATGTCCTGAGTATGAGCAAAATGGACTCCAATAATCACATGCATATTCCTTTGTGCTACATAAAACTCCGAGCAGTGGAGAGCTTTACCCCTGATTCCTATTGGCTTCAGTTTTGCTAGGGCTCCTAGTCAAATGCTGCCTTGAAGAGCAGTCACTCTCATGTCCCATTGGAGTTCAGCTCTTTTGTCCACGTTTGGACCATTGGATGCAATGAGGTCATTTGCTGAGTGGCCCTGACTGAACTATGCTCAGTGAGGAAAAACTGCAGAATTTCCAACTATTGGAGCAGTATCATATCGCACCACTTTACACCAAATGGCTGCACATCTTTTAGTCTCCCAATCAACCAAAATTGGTGTAAATATTTGCTGAAAATTGCAGATGCTAGATTTTGTACCCTTGTTTGTTATATGTTACTGCTAACTGACAACATTGGCACCAATACATCATCTGAAAATCCACCCTTACTATTCAATTATAATTTTATCGATCAGAGATATTTCAGATTAGGGGAAATCTAATAACCCAGACTTTTCCCTGCACACAATAAAAGAAGGGACTGAATAATAGCAGGGTATGCTTTGCTTGTGTCGATATACAGTTAGCTGTGCTCGCATAGCCAAGAGGCTGTCAAAGCTGCATCCTGAGGACACCTTTCACCAGTCTAATTGTAGGCTGCTGGGTCCTTTTGAAAGTTATTTTAAACACATTCAATTAATTCCAAGGAAGTATCATCTCAACTACCTTCCTCATCAATACGCAATGTCGATTTTATTAATTCTGACGGCGCACAAGATTTGAACACAAACAAGTTCAAGAAAAAGGCTAATTAATTGTACCACTAATTAGTCTCAAAGGAAGCATTCTAATTGGATGAGGATTACACGCTGTCAAATTTCACAGGAGACATTCGGTTAAATCCTCTCCACACTGTTACACAAAGCTCTCAACCTGTTGCCAAGCTACTGTGTTCAAAAGCGGTTTGGAAAGATTTGATTATGCACTGGATCATTTTTACGAGCACTTATTTAAAGTGGTCAGACAAGTCTATTGAAGCAGGATCACTCTGATTTTCTGACTGTGTGTGGGTGTCATCTCTTCAGGGTAGCTTAGGTTTCCCTGGTTTTAATTTATACATCAAATGTCACCCTGGGTGGTTTGAGAAAATCTCTTCGGGAAATGACAGCCTACCAAACAGTCTCATTTTCTTCTCGTTGTTATGTGTGATGTGCTTTCAGATACTTTGGAAAGATCTGATATATTTTATTTATGCCAATTTAAAAAAAAACTCTTGAAGAAAGCTGTGGTGTCACTGGATCCCACAAACATTAAGGTTTAAAAATAAGAGCTTTGAATATTCCTTAAACATCTTTAGAGCACTATGGAGATGATTAAAATAACAAAGGACATTGACACAGAGCTAGGATATGAGCCATCTCTCTAATAGAACAGAATCTTAATTTGCAAACTCTGCAGGTTAAAACCAAACCCAGGAACATCTTTACATGAGGATTGTGAAGTGCACTGCTCCAGAGACATCTTGGTATGATCAAAACGATACATAAAATTTTACTTGAAAAATTAATTTTCAGTGGATATCTGGTGAGCTGTTCTGGGAATGGCTTGTGGTAAAATGGGACCAGGCTTAGACATAATTGATGCCACGAGACAGGATAGTTAGTGAACAAATTTAGTGAGATTTAGTGAGAAAAGTCATTTGGTCTCCTGGTGTAAATCCCTGAAAAAGACTAGACGCAACTTGGACTTAGCCAAAAACAATAAGATTCAACACATCATAGCTAATCAAAAGAATGGACATAGAGTGATGGATTGGTAGTCATGTATTCCTGAGCAATATGATTTATGAGAATTGTTTGTTGTTGGGAGCAGCCGAAGTGAAAATAATCCCTAAGAAAGACAGCGAACTGCATCTGAACAAATTGAAGAGATTGAATAAGGGCAAGTGCTGGCCTGGTGGTATAATCACTAGACTATTAATCCAGAGACCCAGGTAATGGCTTGGGGACCCAGGTTTAAATCCCACCATGGCAAGTAGAACTTGAATTCAACAAATATCTGAGATTAGAAGTCGAATGAAACTGTTGCTGATTGTCAGGAAAAAACCATCTGATTCACTAATGCCTTTTAGGGAAGGAAATCTACCATCCTGTCCTGGTCTGGTCTGCATGTGAGTCCAGACCCACAGCGACATAGGGATGGGCAATAAATACTGGCCTGGCCAGTGACATCCACATAGAGTCACAGAGTCATAGAGTTGTACAGTATGGAAACAGACCCTTCGGTCCAACTTGTCCATGCTGACCAAATATCCTCAATAAATCTAGTCCCATTTGTCAGCATTTGGCTCATATCCCTCTAAAACCTTCCTATTCATATACCCATCCAGATGTCTTTTACATGTTGCATTGGACCAGCCTCCTCCACTTCCTCTGGCAGCTCATCCCATACATGCA